CGGGCATCAGCGACCCCATCACACCAGAAGACGCCAGTACACTGCAGGAGCCCACAGCGTAGAGATGAATCAAGCAGAACCACAAGCGGCTCACACACCGGGCATGGAAAGGCTACAGGAAACGCAGGGCAGGTGACTGGAATACAAGACAACAGTGACAAACCATGGAAGCTGTCTGTAACCAACAGGACACGTGAAGTTTCCGCGCTCTGCCCTCACTTCCACTCAGTCTCACTGCCTGCCGCTGCGAGCGCAGCCTCCCGACCCGCTGAAATGAGCCACGAGAGTCACAACAGAAAGCGGCGTGCAGCTGATGGCGACGCAGGAGCAGAACAGGAGTGCTGCATGCAACGCACGAAGCCATCGTTCCCCTCTCCGCTGCGCTGGCGAGGCTCCAGCTCACATGCTGCGTCCAGCTCTGGGCACCGCACTCGGGAAAGGCGGAGACAACCTGCACAAGGCAGAGCTGTTTGGGTTGCTCTGTGAAAACAGGGCTTGGAGGCAGTCTGGAGGGAAGAAAGGGGTAGGGTTTGCTCCTAGAGAAAGGAAAGGAGGAGCAGACACCTCTGTGAATGTTCCAGGCGGTCCCATTTTCCCCCTTCCCCATAATTTGATAACAGGAGGCTGCCCAGAAGCCTGCCAAGAAGCGATCTGCAGGCAGGTTTTTAAGGAGCAGGTCGTGACCTCTGGCATCCAACCGCAAGGTTTACGCTCCGAAACAGTAGTGCCTGGCTGCATCTTTCTTGGCAGAGGACATCCAATACTTAACAGTAACAGCGCGTCTGGTTTTGGCGGAGGACATTCAATACTTGACAACAGCAGAGCGTCTGGTTTGCTTTCCTTCGGAAGGTCAACACACGCATCCTGCTCTACCGCCTCAAAATAAGAGCTTTATTTTTGATACCAAGACCCCTGCCCTGCCAGAAGCATTAATGACCTGCACCAGGCTGAGAAGCTGGAGGAGGTGCTGGAGCAGACGCACTTCGGGTTTGCCCGGCCTCCTGACCGCCGCGTACAGCATCTCCTGGGGGGAAGCCTCCGCACGCTGCTGCCAGGCAGGGCTGTAATGCATTAGCTGTGAAGGACGTATTCATTCCAGCAGAGAAACGCTTCCTTCCCATTTTAGGTTAGCTTAACTTCAATTGTCTACGCTACACCCAAATCCCACAGTCTCCTACTGAAGAAGCGTTAAGAGGTAGAAACAAAAACTCTATGATCACGCTGCGCTTTTTTCCTCACTCAGGCAGAGGAGCTCTTCAGTGTCCCTCCGAGAGCAGGTAAAGGACGGTTCCATCGACACCCCATCACCCGTGGCACCAAGCCAGCCTGTGACAGAAGGAGCGTGCACCTACCTCTCCCCCAGCAGTGCACGCTGCGAAGCTAAAACCATCTGGACTTCTGACTCGCCACTTCCCATATGCGCTCCTGGCAGCAACAGGAGGAGTAAACCAGCCAGGGCTGGAGAAAGCTGTGGATCATCTCGCATGAAGCTCTTCTGCTCCTGCTGCATCAGCTCCAGGGACACTACTTCCTCTCCGAGAGCACGGACATGTTCTTCCCCTTGGACGCATGTTGCCTCCTCCACATCCCCCCCAAATCCGCCTGCTCTTCTCCGTATCTATTGCGTGCAGGCTGGAGAGGTTCTGCCAGGCACAGCTTAAAGGCTGGGGCAGAGTCAAAGGCTGCAGAGCCCTTTGCAGCAGGAGCTGGCGGAGTCTTCCTGCAAAGGGTTTGGTTCTGACCACGCATCACCTTCTTGGTGTTCCCACCTAAAAGCAATCACTCGCCCTAGCTGCTTTCCAGCTACACTAGCTTCAGGTACGTGTTCGAATTACACAACGTGAGCCACCTTCTCAGGTGACCTGCTGGGCTGCTGCCAGACACTGCCCTCTTCCAGTAGGTCCCCCCCACTTTGGGGACGAGGCAGAGAAAGCAGCTCAGCAACAGCTACGTTACCCTTCCATGATTTTGCGTTGCCACCCATACACATCCCACACTGCTCCTTCCTTGCTCCACCCGCTTGGGGTGACAGCTGACGTTGCTGCAGAAGTTTTCTGGGCAACAACATTTAGTTGTACCCAGGTCAACGGGCTTTTCATCAACAGAGTGGTGATGGATCTAGCGTTGCACCTTCAAGGCAAAGAAAGGGGAGAGCAGGACAAGCCTCAACGCCTAGAGCGAGGCTGGAATACGTGACCCAGTATCAGAGATTTGTGCCTGGATCAGCCGCTTTCTCAAGGCTAAAATAGCAAAGGACAAAAAAAAGCTGCCCAAGCAAACAAGACGTAGAAAGGGAGCACTGCAGAGAGGCCAGCTGGGGTTTCATCACCCCTACAGTAATCCAGCGCATCGGCACCGCTTGCTCCTCTCGATACAGCCTGTTGGGATCTCCAGCGAAGCGCTTCCACCTGCAGGTACTCACGCCGACGGCGCTGCGCGGCCCTGGCGAGCACGCAAAGACGAGGGTCAGCACAGGGCAGAAATGATGGTCTTTGAGTGAGAAGCGTGAACCCGCCCACTCTTACCAAAGTCCCTATTGACTCAGTACAACCACAACCTCTCTAGCAAAGCTACTTCTGCCAGTAAGACAGCACTCCTGCCCTTCGGGCATACGCAGCTTTATTGGCCTCTGCCTGTTGGTTCAGCTGTGCCAGGCTGGGAGCGATACCTCCACGGAGACCTGCACACACATTTCAGCCCCACGCCATCCAAAACCAGGGCTGGTAAACGCAACGCTAGTGTCTGACCAGTGACAGTAAGCTGCCCACGCTGTGCTTTAGATGCTAGACAGGACTTTCCTCCTCGCCCCGGTCAGCATTCAGGGCCCCGTTCCTAGATTTAACTGCAACAGCTTTTCCATCAGAGGTGTCTCCAGAAAGACCATGACCTGAGAGCAGGCCTTCGGTGCCTGCTACACAAACAAGAAGGCCGCTGCAGTCGTCTGGACCCTCCCAAGTTCATCTGCCAGCACCACCTGTAGAGGGGCAAGACTCCCTCATCACTGCACAGGTACTGGGAGGGAAGGCAGCACCACCACAAATCCCTCCAGGTGCTACTGGGAACAGGCTGAACGCCCGACAGCCTTCCTTCTTCAAGCAAAAGCCTTGTCTTCACAGGAGCAGAATTAGTCACTTTGGGAGGCCTGGCTCAAAGCTGAGTGCGTTTCGCTTACCTTTTTCCAGCACCCACACAAACCCGCTATCTTTCACTGCCTTTCTAAACACACTTAAAGTTTACTGATGAATCCCCATACAATCTGTCTTTCACAGGACATCTCACGCAAGCTGCCACATCGGACAAAGCCGCTCTTACCAAGTCCATTTCTCTCCAGCTCATCAGCTCGGAGCGTGCAAAAGGAGAGCGTGAGCAAGCCCTGACCACTCCTGCCCCCCCCCGACTGCTCCAGGAGGAGAGCAGACCCACGCAGACAGCCTGGCCCAGCTACACAGGACAGCACGTCACCTGCTTCGCTCCCTGAAACCATCCCAGAATCCCAGGTTGGAAGGGATCTCAAGGATCATCTGGTCCAACCTTTCTAGGCAAGAGCACGCTCTAGACAAGACGGCCCAGCACCCTGTCCAGCTGTGGCTTGACAATGTCCAGTCTTGGGGAATCCACTGCTTCCTGGGGCAGATTATTCCAACAGGTGACTGTTCTCATGGGGAAAATTTTTTCTCTTGTGTCCAGTTGGAATCTCTCCAGGAGTAACTTGTACCCATTACCCCTCGTCTTCTCCATGTGCCTCCTTCTAAAAAGGGAGTCTCCATCTTCTTTGTAGCGACCCTTTAAATACAGGAACATGGTGATAAGGTCTCCCCTAAGACTCCTTTTCTCAAGGCTGAACAAACCCAGCTCTCCCAGCCTACCCTCATCTATCAGGCTTCCCAGTCCTTGGATCATCTTGGTGGCCCTACTCTGGACCCCCTCCACCCTACCCACTGCTTTTTTCGTACAGTGGGGACCAAAACAGACTTGTCCTAACCGTCGTGCACACTTAAATGACACCCCATGAACTACCCTGGAAGGACGACTGCAATGTGGCCCAATGTGATGGATCCTAGAGGAAGAGCAAAGCAAAGGAGAACGTGAGGTGAATCCTTTTAGCTTCACTGCTGCTGTGGGAGACACAAAAATAAAGCAAACACCCTCCCCTCCACATAAACGCACCATCCAGTGTTCCCCTGTGTTAAGGATGCCACAGGCTTTGGCCCCAAACCAGCTCCTAGAGATTTAAACCATCACAGCAGAGCCTGTTAGCACCAACAGCAGCTTCCTTCAAAGGTTTCCAGCGCTTTGAACAAGACACAGACTGCCACGCTCACGTGAGGAGACACGGACAATCTCTGGCACGTTTCCGTGGGTCTGACCGCGCAGGGAGCAGCCACAGGGCAGGAGCAACATGGTCCTGAGCTAAATGCGGGGGGAGTCCCTGGGTTGGCCGTGCTCCCACCGCCACGCAGACCCACATGCTCCCAGAGCTTCCTCCTCCATGGGCAAGGGCAACCACAGCACAACCCGGCAAGGCACCCACCTCGCTGCATGCGGTGAGGTGCCACAGCTGCCTCTCTCGACCGCCTCGCTGCCAGCCTGGGAAGGGGTGGGGAGGACAGGCAAGCTGCCACCCTGCCGCTCCCAATCACACCCACAGGGCACCCAGCAATGCCCACCACTCCCAGGAACAGCTCTGGGGAGGGGGCGGGGGGGCACACACAGGGATTGCGATCACGCCCCACTCAGTAACGTTGTACCCTGCCGTACTGTAGGACGTGAAGGCATGTCCCCACCCTGGAGCAGGGCTGGGGGAGCACGGCTGGCATGCAATCACGCTGCCACCACCCCACGCTCTGCTGTCCCCACGCCGCACCCCACTGTAGGCACACAGCCTGTCCTCCCCCAGGGGGGCAAACAGCATGGGGATGGCCATGGAGGGGGGCTGGGGGTCCACGGGGCCCACCCAGCACTTGGAAAGGCTTGCACCACCTTGCACTGGGACGCCGTACCCCGTAGCATCGCACACGGCGTCCTCGTCACCGCTGGGAAACAGGCTGGGGGTGCCCAGTTTGCAGGCGGGCACCCCTTGGCTCGCTGTGGGGCACAGGACGGTCCCCCCATCCCCTCCCTGGGAGGGGGTCCCCCAGCC